GCAAAGACATTCAAAGCTTCCCCGTTTGGCATTATGTTCACCTTCAAGAAGATTGGCGGTTGCTGCAAACAATTTGGCTTGTGGTTCGTTGATGAAGGGATCTCTAGGAAAGAGCCATGTTGATCCTACCCATGACTTGGAACTTATCCTTTCGTATGGGCTTTTATTCCAATCGTCCTTGTGGACTGAGATCTTCCCTCTGCATTTCCATTCAGTAAGATGTTCATGAGAAACATCACTTACATCAAATGGGCGAAAAGCTTCTTTCGAGGTCTAACATGAACCCTTTTCCATGCTTTCCTATTCGTGTCGAACTCCCAAAAATCACCATCCCCGCCCCCCATGAACTCTAACGAATCCAAAGCTGGCATCGCGGGAGTGCTGGGCAACCGCAGGGGTACGAGGGGTTGGTGGAGCCCTCATGCCTGCTGCCCCTGCCTTTGCTGCAAGACGCTCCTCTTCCAGACACACTCGGAACCTTTCGTGGCACTCATCTGTGTGCGGCACTCCTTCAGCTATGCGCTCACATCCTCTACAGCCTGGGGTTACACCATACTTTATTGCCCTTTCCAAAGTCACATATGTCCGTCTTTTGAACACTTTGGGCTCAGGAGGGTCACCTTCGAATGGCAGTGACTCCTTAGGGGGATGTGTGATCATTGTTTTGAAAAGCTCCAACTGGTTCATCTTTGCTTCGAACAGTGGGAAGACCCAATTACCCTCAGTGGGTTCAAGAAGGTCTGACTTGTAGACTTGAATTGGCCTACCACTACCCTTAGCTTTTGAAAGAAGATTCTGGCAATCAAGAACCAAATGGACATCTCGGTGATGATACCCTGCGTCAACCCTCCACCCCACAAAGATGCCTGGATATGTCCTTGGCTCGAATGCGGGAAGTTCACGGTGTTTTGGAGGTTGATAGTAGACAAGGCAACCAACTGGAAGTCTCAATCCAGTGAATGCTTCACCTGCGGCAGCTTCGTAGCAAGTCTGAGTGCTCTTTTCAATCTTCTTTTCATCAGACTCGTTTGGGTGAATCTGAGCTTGGTTGGTGATTGCCTGAGCTACACAGAAAAACTCTACTGCTCTAGGCCAGTGCTGATGATCCAAACCTTTATGGAACGAATGCTTCTTTCGAGTGTGAACGGGGTCATTAGGAACACTAGGGCTTGGCAACCAACTCAAATACTTTACAGCATCTATTAGTTCGGTCGCTGCATCTGTCTTTGCGATACAGAGTGCTTTCCCATGTGCCCTTGTCCCTCCGAACGCTTGCAAAGCTCCGACGTTTGCGTCTGTTGTCCTTGTTGTTTGTGGAACTGCTTGTAGACAACCCGAATACTCATCATATCTGCGTTGGCGAGCTTGCAAATCACATTGAACATACCATTTTTGAATGTCCTAGCTTCCGATGCATTCTTTGGGAGAGTTGGCAGTTTCAAGGATTCATATGTCTTGGCCCTCATGAGCTTCTTCTCCAATGCATATGCGTCAATTCCCTCTTTGGCTTTCGGGGAATGTGATGGAGATGATGCCCCACCACCACTAGGAGACCCACCAAGTGAAGACCCGTGCCTCATTTTGGGTTTGACCTACTGCAACATTGGCTTGATGGCTTACCAAATCTACCCTCTCTTGAGCTGTTCTTTGAACATCTGCCACTTGTGCCTGCGAATTTCCTTGGACCATTGCAACCCTTTGGTTTGCCTCCCGGACGGCACTATCGGCAAGAAAAGCTACCCTTTGAGTCTCTAGTCTAGCCCTAGCAATCTCTTAGTGAGCTTCGGCAACAATGGTTGGGTCCGCTGAAACATTCAACTGGTTCAGTGTTTGGTTTTGCAACTGAACAAAACTGGGTCTTGGTTGGTTTTCTTCCATGGGGTCAGTGCTAGATGATATATCTGCAACCGGAGTACTAGCAGCTACGGCAAAGTTCTGGGACGCTGGCACGATTTCTCCTGACATCATTTTTAGTGTCGGAACAGGGCCTCCAAGTCCTCACTGCAACTTGCCAAAAAGGGCCTAACCACCTCAGCTCTTTCGGCCGATGGCTTCCTCCTCAGCTTGATGTGTGCAGGATTCTCCTGGTCCTGGGCTCTCACGAACTCTGCGATCACACGGACGTTGTCGTCCACAATGCAACGCGGGATCGAAAAGCCTCTGGAGATCTGACTGGCTGTCGCCAATGGACCTGTCACACCTTCCCTCTCACGAGTCACGCCCTCTTCAATGATCTCACGCACAAAGATCAACAATGAATGTTTGTTGCCCCAAACACGCTCTGCTGACTCCTTTGCACGTCTCAAGAAAGCTACGTTGTCTCTTGGGATCTTGCGCGACCACGATGCTGACTCGGCCGCGCCTCTGTCAAGCACTTGATGGTAATCGAGGAAAAGAATGAACTTGCGCTCAACCCCACTTCCCGGCAACAATCCGTTGAAGTTCCGATACGATCTCAACTCTTCAATTTTATCGCCCGCCCGGCCTTGAGACCTCTCGTAGGCAAGAACAGGTGGCGCCCTCGCTGGGGGCGCCGACTTCGATGCTTCAGCTGCACTAGACGCTGCCTTCACTGGCGGCCTCGGCAAGACTTTCGCAATAGCCTTTGGAGTGGATGTCGGACGAATCACCTCTCGGATCGGTTCCAAGTCTGCTGGTGACGCCGCCTTCGACTGATGAATCGTGACGCTCTGCGTGCTAAGTTCTGTGACCTCACGCCTCACGCTCGACTCCAAGTTCTGTAGCCCTGCTTCGCGGAACTCCTTTTGAAGTTGTCGCAGGTCCCACCTTCGGCTTTGCTGGCACTGGCACCGAAACAATCTGTGATGTCTCAACTGTTGCCTTTGATGGCACCGAATTGACCTGTGTCGTAAAGACTGGAGCAATCGGTGGCGCTGGCTTCACCTTTTGGGCTGGCGGCTCGTGAACGTCTGAAGATCCTGTCCTCTCCTCTTCGGATTCAGTCTCTCCCCAGTCCTGTCCACCCTGAAGAACAGTGTAAATCCGCGTAGGCGTGTCCGCCAGGAAGAACAAAAGGATATCTGTTCGAGTAAGGCCCTTGTGCAATCCCCTCTTGCAAATGCATCAGTTTCTGGTTGCGCCCTCGCCTCCCGCCTCGCGGAGCGGGCGCGCAACGACAAAGAGTGTCTCCAATCAGTTCAGCTGGTTCGACGCTTGGACCAACGTAGGTGGTAATGGCAACGGCACAACCTCAGGCACAGAGCCTACGGCTGATAACCACAAAATTGCGAGAACCGATGCCCTATCGCAACGCGCCTTTTCTCACAGAGGCCTTGAGCCAAACGTTCGCACGACAAGTCTGTCCTGGACCAGAACCCTTTTGGTTTACTGGTGATTCCCTAGCATGAGAGGGAAACAGTCATGCAAGGCTCACTGGACAAGCATTTTAGGTTTACCGTTCCATGGTGCACTTCTTCTTGTAAAGACATGTGTATAGCTTGGTGCAACCATCTCATTACTATGGAGCCCTTTTTCAATATCAATGTAAAGAACGCTTTCGCTCACGTGATTATATATGTTGGATGAGATACGTATCGAATCAACGTGTGTATATATATATATATAATCACCTGTGGAATTACCGATGTGCCTTGAGATTTGATTTTATAGTTATATAAAACGAGAAGCCAGGCTCTGAGGGCAGATTGCCCCACTATAGAATCAAGCATCAACCTCCTGCAGTGCTGGAACCTGTTCTCTATAGAATCAAGTGCCTCAGGGTATGGGTGTTCATGATCATGAACAAAAAGATAGCACAAATGGAAAAATCAATGATGCGTAGCCAAGGTTGGTGTTGATTCTATAGAGAATATGGGGACATATGAGAAGTGTGGGGACATATGAAGATTGAACATGAGATATCAACCTCCTGACCTCACAACACACCATCCACTCTAAAAACAGGCAAGGGACTCATTTGCGACACCAAATCTGACTCATTTGCGACACCACCACCCCCC